ACTAGGTGGTCGAGAGCTGATGGCTGCTGAGCTGGTTACCGCATGGCCGCATAGGCCTGATGCCAGCGACGTCGAAAAGATGTTAAACGCAACGACAGCCAATCCTGATTGGCTTACTTTGGGTTGGTGGTTTGACCGCGGTTCGCAGGGTGGACATTTGAAACAAACGAAGTAGGTGTCGTGGCTGGCTGCCGATCTGGCTACTTCATGACCGCGCAGGCCGTCGGAAAGACAACTTGCGCATCGGTGGTCGATTGTGATTGGCCGATTTTCGGCCGTTACTTGACCCCTGCTAGCAGTGTGCTGGACACTTGAAACAAAAAAATAGGTGTCGATTACAGATCTGGCTACCGCGTGGGCTTCCTAGAGGTGAGTGATTGGCACGCTTGGTGGGTACCGACTGGGTACTTCTGAATGATAACGGGGGGTTATCGGTTTATTTTGACCGGCCGTTCCGTCAAAGCCCGCCCTCCATCAACCACCAAGTAGAGGCGACAAGCGCAAGTTCCCAATAAGCAGCAGGAGCTAATTGCCATGAAACTAGCTTTACAACTGCCGGTAGTGGTAGTCGGAAGCGGGAGACAGGTATGTTTGAAACGAGCATGCGGCTGTTGCTTTCTCTCGTCTGTAATGGGTCTCAGTTGGTTGGTTCATTCAACAGCAAAGGGCAGGTGCGACAGATTCGTACGACTACAGGTAGGATGCTCGCAGCTCACGCACACCCGGACAGGCTCCAACCTTCCGTAAAGGAAGTCCCTCAGAGCCCGATAAGAAACTAAACACTACCGGTGGAACGTCCCACGCTGTACCTGAAAATGCAGGAACAAGAGAACGAGCAGGACTGACACGAGAACAGAAATGAAGCCGCAGAACGCCTACTAGGACCAGACACAACTCCACAGATACAACCCCGTCGTGTTGGCAACGAAGCACCCCCGGAGATGGTGGTAACGGGAGTTGCCCTCACCTCCCAGGCGTTTGCCTCCCCCGGTCCCCCGGGGTCCTTCTCCTGACACCTCTTGACTGCGTGCTCATGCTCCATCCGTGCTGCCAGCTGGATGTCACGGCGGTGGCAGCGGCAGCAGGGGAGAAACTATGCCGTTGTGTCTTTCTATAAACTACTGGTCCTCTCTGGTAGGTGGTCCACCAGGGGTGAAGACAGAGCAAAAATCTCAAACACCGTGACGGTTTACCAATGTGATGACAACGACGAACAAAACACACAAAGCAATAACACGAGCCACCGGCAGGCAAGCACCCAACTGATGTCAACACAAAAACTCGAGCACATGTGCCCCGCAGAAAGGACAACACCCGGTGGTGGGAGAGAAAGTGAAGAAAGAGGACAACCCGACGCGCATCACTCACATCGGCAAAGAACCTTTGGGAAATACGAGTAGGAAAAAATTGGGAATACTCACCCCTTTCTCAGACAAAAGTGGCCACTTTCATAAGACTGCAGTGTCAATAGCGACACATTTCAAGCACCTTGCGACATTGTGATCCTGTGCCGCCCATCTCAACACACACCGAACCAAGAAAGCATCATTACCATCTTGCTGGCCCTGGCGTGCGCTTCGGAGACCTCTTTGAGTCCCGCGCCGTCCCCTGAAAAAGCCTCCTTCATGTCGTCGAGGAGCTGACCTTCGTCGTTGCCGATCAGCGGGACTGAGAGCTGCCTCCGGTACACTCGCTTCACTCTGCAGAATGAAGGGACATCTCGCTTGCGTATGAGTGTATGTATGTGTGGTTCAGCGCCGGCCGGTTGGCGGCCAATGAAAGAGAGGTGGTTATAATAGTGAGAAAACAACATGCGAACAATGTGTGTGCGGGAGAGAGAGGAAAAGAATATGCAAGCAGTGTGCGCTTGAGAGGGCGGGAAGGAGAGAGATGCAGACGAAAAGGCAAGAGAGATAGAGACAGGCAGAGAGAAAAAGCGGGTACATCCAGAACGGCGCTGGTACACAGGGCTCAGCCACGCATACCCACGAATCGCACCGTATACAGAAGGGCAGAGACAGAGAGAGAGAGAGTAACGAGGTAAACAAAAACAGACCGGGAGCATGTTCACCTATCCCGCGCCTTGGAAATCTCCCCGTCTCCCACGCCCATCTCCTCGGCGTCCTCGAGCTCTTCCATCTCGAACCGCAACAACGAACGCCACACCGCGCCTCCGAGGACAGGGTGGACGCCCACGCGAGTCAGCGCTTCTTCGAACGCCTCCCGCATGGCGGAAACCCCACCCTCGTCGTCTTCCTGCGGGTTTATCGTTTTTTCAACGCCAGCAGCAAACGAACAAATAGACAAGTTACGAGGCGCGCATCCGGCGTGGGTTAACTCAGAGCATACATCAAGGCGTGATGCAAGGTGAACATAAAGCGTGCGAATCAGCTGCCATCAGCGACGTTTCACAAGCTCGAACGTGTTTTCGGCTCGAAGAGCCCAACGAACCTGAACGAGCCAAAAAAGAAAAATGTACACATCTGTACACAGCTTTAAGGGGCCAAGAGGACAGGACCTCGAATATGCGCGCAAGGCACGGGTGCGCAGTGCGCAAGGCTAGGCCCACAGTGGTGGTGGGTTAGGGGGGTGTTGGTTGTATCGCAAGACTGACGACAAAAGGGGAGGGCAAGGAAGGGCCCTTACGATCAAAACAACGATATCTCTGTCGCTTGTGTGTTGACGTCGTAGCAGTGATGGTGCCAGTGAATAGTAGTCGCAGCCGTAGAAGTAATATTACCGGCAGCAGCAGCAGCAGTAGTGTACGGGAACATGAAAAATCGAAAAAACAACGTGTCGTGTCAGCCCAGCTACCCGCGGCAAGTCGTATTCAGCCGGGTTGAGGCTTCGTGTCTGGCGGTGCCGCGTTGATAGCCTCTTCCGCGTGATGCAGCTTGATTCCCCCGGTGAGACGTCCGTCATCACGGCCACATACATGGACGGCTAGCGGGAGATGTGCGACACTTTGTCGGATATGAAAGGGTCTCAGGGATGACCGACGCAGGAGGCAAGGGAGAGGCAGTTGACGCTTTGGAGGAATAGGATCGTGGCCATGCTGCTGGCGCTAACGTACGTGGGAGGCGCTTGTACCTGATAACAGTGTGATGCGCCAAGCAGAGCAATTGCAAGCTACTGCTGAAAGACGAGAGAGATGTTCCCTAACGGTGTACACTCTAAGAAAACAGGGCCGTTTTGTTCGAGATCAAGAAATTCAGGCCGTCCACAGAAGTCCTTCGTGGTCTCCAGAATCGCGGATGTAACCTCTGTGTGTTCGCCACGACCGTAGTTGTATCATACGCTTGCTTAGGCACGATACGCGGTACCGTAGTGCTGCACGACACGAGGGTGTACCATCTCTCGGCACGGCATTCCGCAACCCCCGACACCCAAAAACACCAGAGAGAAAGTAACAAGGAGGCATCACTGCTGTCGACTTACATCTAGCGAGGCCTCCAGCGTCTGGAGGTACCCGGGCCAGAGCTTGGCGCACTGGTAATCCGCGAACGCGCGGCGATAGAGAGCGAGGACGTCTTCCGCGCCATCCTCTCCCCCAGCCGCCCGGCGATCGTCTATCCACTCCTGCCACAGCTCGGGGCTAAGCGGAAACCTTTCGGAGAAACTGAACGCGCACAGCAGTTGGGCCGGAACGGGGCGGGGGGGGTAGTTGCTTCTTGCTGATCGTATGCGGTTGATGTAATTTCCATGTGTCCGCGGGGACAACTCCAACACTTGTGAGAGGTGCTTCATTTTCTTTCAGCCGCGGGGGAACGTCCGCAAGGAACAATCGGGTGCACACGCATAGACCGTAGGTTGCGTACCACAACCACTGGGACCGATTCTTAGAGTCCGGATACTCCACGACGAAGAGAAGAACCAAAAGGGTTGTCGTTTGCTTCATGGGTATGATCACTGTACATCAACAGCAGCGGTAGCTGCTGACAACCCGCGAAGGAAGCAATAATACAAGTAACAAAAGTGAAAAAACAATCACCTCAGGGTCGCGGAAAAAAAAAAAGCTATGTAGTTGCTCGGTACCACTGCTGTATTTGATCTTCATTTGGTCAGCTTGGTCTCGATCTCCCAGGTGGTGGTATGGCCTTGGTATTTCAACAACATATGTTGTTGGGTTTGCGCGTGGGATTGTGCCCACGTGTCAGGACAATCACAAAAACATGAACCTCGAGCACAGCAATACCAGACGGAAGCCAGGCCTATCACAGCGCTAGTTTTCAATTCTTTCGCACCACGACCAACCCACCCAACAGGTACGGACGGCAACCAGGAGCAGCAGTCGCTGTGTCTACAGCAGTAGATAGAGCCAGCGGCGAGTGAAAGAGAGAGTATTCTTGATGTGCTGAGCACACGGCCTTAATAACGCAGCAGCGTGGCAAGTAAGGAAAGTTGTTGCCCCATGTCTCGTAGGATCAACGATGTGCGAGAGGGCTAGACCTAACTTTTGGTCTTCCTTGAGTGTGTGATGGGCGGTTAAGTGATTGATGCTTAGATCGACGGGACTGTCAACTTTATCCAGGAATAAACATGCCGTCGCGCGCGCTATTGTCGAAGGAGCAAAGCCGCGCAGGTAGAAACAGAAAAGCATGTAAACTCACTCTTGCCGGGCTTTCCGCAGCTCGAGGCTGCCAGGTCTCTCCCTCCGCAGGTGCTTGACGAGGGACGAGTGCGCCGTGTAGTCGCCGGGACAATCCTTCACCGCTCCTTTCAGCAGGGCAAATTGCTCCGCTTTGGATGCCGGCGCGACCGCGCCGCCACCACCACTGGCAACTTCGCCGTCTACCTCCATCCCCTTGTTTTTACGGGCTAGGGGACTGTGTGGACTGTGAGGAGCCGTGTGGATCTGGCTGCGCAGTAGTGCGGGCATGGACGCCCATGCTGGCTGTGCCAGGTATGTCCCCGCGGAATCACTGCTCATAGGTATCCGTTATATTTCTTCTGTCAGCCCCCTCGTGTGGATCGACAAGAGAGACAACACCGACAACACATACAGCCGCAGCAGCATCGTAGTACGCATGCACTCAAGCCCGAAGCGCTTTCTGTGTTCGAGCTCGAGATAGTGGTGTGCTGGTGTGTTTATTTCCCACGTTCTCGCGTCCTCCTGTCCTACCTCTCTCTTTTGTACCACTGAAGAAGCACACCGTCTAATTGCGCCGCACCTTTGGCGAGTTGCACGATCACACAACACACCATCATCATGCGCTGGTGCGTCTGCAAACAGTGGGGCCCTCCTTCATCTCTGTCGATCGAGGATGGCCCACCCTTGCCGCAGCCAGGGAAGGGCGAAGTGGCCATCGCGGTGTCCGCGTGCGCTGTGAACTTTCCGGATCTGCTGGTTGTCCAGGTGTGTGCGAGAGAAGGAACAACGCTAAACATGCTCCTCAATGCATGTATGGTACAGCAGCGAATCCTTGGAGGTCGGCCGGGCTTGAATGAGCCCTCTTGACACTTTCCTAAACTCCTTGCTTCTTAGGTTCGGGCAAGGACGTGCGTGAATCTTTCCATATGGTGTTCTTCGTACTGTGCATTTTGCTTGGCGATTTCCCTTGGATTTTGGGAGTGTTAGGAAATCTTTCGTCTCTGTGGAAGAGTACAACTGTACTCTTAGGGGTGCCAATCGGGGCGATTTTGGCGGCAAAAAAGTGACCGGTCTATTCGAGGATTTTGAGAAAAAAAAGGGGGGCACGCGGACTTTTTGGTTCTCAAGTCAGCTCTTGAATCATACCGATCAAAGTATACTTTATCCTCCGTACTTTGTATAAGTAGCTCTGCGTCCAGGCAGCGACGTGGCTCTTCATACGTTGCACACATCTGGACACAAGTCCAATAGAGGACACTGCAAGCTCGGTTCATGCTTAAGTTTATAGGGCGGATGAACAACCCAGAAAAACCTACAAATTTCAGCTGTATGGCCAATGCCCGAGGCCGCCTCTGACTTTCTTGAGAAAGCGAGCTTGCAGTGCACCACCTTGGGAGTTAGACCACCCAACACAAAAGACCGAACTGGAATCGCTCAAGTCAACAGCGAGATCTACATGTCTGAAAATGGTCTTCCAAGCGGGTCTCCTGCAGCGCCTGTCAGGGAAGCACAGCAGCAAAAAAACCGTAACCAAAAAAAAGAGAGGCGCGTTTTTGGTGGCGGCAGCAGGCGAGCCGCGAAGAACCTCAGGAAAAACCAAGCAAAGTACGAACAGGCGTCGGGGCAGTCTGTGTACGCCGCCTGCGCAGCGTCAAACACACGGCGTGCGGTCGAAAGGGGCGGTGTTGCCGCCGCACAGAAAGCGCTGACAGAAAAGGAGCATGAGTTGGTCGAAAGTAAACAGCGCGAGGCGGCAAGCACCGCTGAGTGCAGCATGGCTCAGGAGCTCGCGCGCGAGAGCACCGAGGCGCTAAAGGAGGAGAAGGCTAAGAGAGCAGAGGCAGAGCGGTCGCAGCAAGAGGCAGAGCGGAGGAAGCAAGAGGCTGAACGAGACAAGGCGAAGGCGGAGGCGGTGGGCGTAGATGATGGGTGCTTCCTCGCTGCTGCTGTTTTTTTCGCCAGCAGCAGGAGGAGCACTGCTTCCTCCAGCAGGAGGAGTCCGCGCGGTCCCACCGCCCGGCGGCTGTTCGAGTGAGCCACCAGGCATGTTTGCTAGGTTGCGGACGGCGCTAGGGTGCCGCTAGGGTGCCGTGTGCAACCTCCACGGCACGGCGGAACGCGTTCACACACGCTTCGCGCTCGCGGGGCGTCAGGTGTTTTTTGGTTCTGGCGGGGTTCTTCGGAACGTTCGATGTGATTTTTTTGGCTCGAGCGATTTTCCATCTGGAAGATCCAGGACACTTTTCGAAATTTTTTCCTATAGGAAATTTGACCGATTGGCACCCCTAACTGTAGTTGGCGCCCGCAGTTAAGAAATATTTTGTGAAGAAATTAAGGCTCACTTTTTCACGAAAAGTAAGAAAATAGGGTTAAGAAAAATAGCTCAATCTGGGTCACACAATAATAAATGTCTCAATAAGAAACACAGCGGCGACCGCTGCCCTACTACATGAGAAACGAGGGTTGACGGGGGAGTGTGTCGAATAAGAAACAAACCCCACAGCCCTCTCGCTCTTTTCCCCTCTCCCCCGACCCCCCCCTCCCATAGTGCATTATTATTATTTGCTGCCCGACGAGGGGGGAGTGTTTTTTTTTTGCGGCGCCCCCTCCCGCCCCCTGCGGGCTCTGCCACGCTCTCTGCTGGCGCTAAAGCTTTGGCACAGCACACCAGACAGGCTGCGAACCACGACATGCTGTCTGCTGTACACGGCTTTGATGGTTGTCTCCGCCAGCTCGCGAGACGGCTTGACCAAGCTGGTCACCCTCAGAGATCAACAAGAACTGTCGACGAGCCAGCTCGGGGACATCAAGAAGCACCTTCTAAACAACGAGTCTCTGTCTCACGATTTCTGGAAAGGCATTGAAGAGCTGCGGAGTTTGAGGTCTTCCGATATCCTTACTTTGGAGGAGCATGTGCAGCATCTCAACGAACATGTGGCGTCCCACCTCAAGAAAAAGACCCCGGTGCCAACCCCTCCTGAATCGGTTGCTGCTTCAAGCGCACAGCAGTTCGTAGGGCAGAATCGAAAGGCATCATCGTCTTCAACAGCATCAGCCAAGAAAAAGGGGAGGGCAGCATCCAACCCGCCGGCAGGGACCCACATCATCAATGCCTTCGCTAAAGGCAGTGGCAAACCGGTGCGTAGAATATGTTTGCGTGTGCCGACGAGAGGGTCTCGCGCGATATTTGAAAATAAATTCAGCGCCACCGAGATGCGGACAGACCATTTTTGTTTATTTCTAATGTTTTTTTGTTTTCTTTTGGTGTCCAAAATACACATTTGCGTCTACATGTATTGTTGGCATCGAATGCTCTGTGTTGTGAGTGTCTCTTTCGGTTTGCGTGAGTTCTTCTGCTATTCTTTGTCTTCGATTTTCGTCATACCGGTGCTGCTGTGAACCACGCGAATGATCCCAACACTTAATATTATTGTTGAAATGCCGCACAAATATGATTTTTGAGCCGCTTTTGCACGTAAAGTGCACGTACTTATTGGCAAGAAGATGTCTGTAGCAGTAAGTCGCCAGCGTGCCTCCGTACCAGGTTCGCCTCTTTTTTGTCAACCCTTTCCGACATGCGTCTTCTTACATGCTGCTGTGCTGGCCTTACCCGCGGCAGCACTCTTTGTTGAACGAGCTTATGTTGCTATCTTTCAAACAACAATTAATAAACTCAAGCAGGAATGAACAATACCACCGCCCTCCNTGCGTTCATTCGGAGCACAGAAGAATTACCCTTGCAGAAGAAAGCTCCTCTTGTTGACACGTTATTGAGTGTTGGAATATTGTCCCCGCTTCGGGAATCGCCACAACAATAGACGATGTCTCCGCTGTGCCTTGTCAGGAGACGATGACAACGATAAGGACCCGCTGACCCAGCTCGACGACGATGACGAATTGTCGCCTG